ATGAGGTATTTGAAGGCTGCCCCTGCAAAAGGGTTGATATTCTCCAAACATACACATATGGACCCAGAAGGATACACAGATTCTGATTGGGCAGGATCCATCACAGATAGACGTTCTACTTTTGGATATTTTACTTTTGTGGGTGGCAACTTAGTCACTTGGAGAAGTAAGAAGCAAAAAGTTGTGGCTAGATCAAGTGCTGAAGCAGAATTTAGGGGAATGGCTCAAGGACTGTGTGAATTGCTCTGGTTACGGAACTTACTGAAGGACCTTGGAGTTAAACCATTAAAGGCTACAAACTTGTACTGTGACAATAAAGCTGCTATCGAGATAGCACATAACCCAGTACAACACGACCGTACCAAGCATGTGGAAGTCGACCGACACTTCATCAAAGAGAAACTTGAAAAGGGTATAATTAAGTTTCCGTTTGTAAACTCGGAAAACCAACTTGCCGACATTCTGACGAAGGCCGTATCAAGTAAAGTTTTTTATGATTCACTTGACAAGTTGGGCATGCGTGATATCTTTGCACCAACTTGAGGGGAAGTGTTAGTTAAGACAAAAACAAGACATAGACAAGACCCTAAACCAAGGAAAGCTTGTCTACTATCTCTCATACTTTTCCATGTTTACATACCCATGTTTTAGGGATGTTTACACATCCATATTTTAGGGATACCTTTCCAGGATTTGTGCTAGATGTAATTATTAATTAACCATGTACAATTGCATATAACTCTCAAGTGAGTAATACAATTTTAGATTAGCATTCTCTGCAAATCTTCTTCTCCAAGTTCATCTCTATTCTCTCAATTACACTATCTTTGGCATGGTATCAGAGCAATCGATTTTGGTTGCCTCTGCATAACCTTGTTCTTGCCTAATCTCTACCTATCCTGAGCACCTGTTTAATTGAAGGCCTATCCCGGCCTTCTTTCTGGGTGCACCATCTCACAACAGACATGATAGTCTGAAGCTGATCCAGATCAACTGAATCCCGTATACTGGGATCCACTAGATCAGGTAGCCTTAACTCTGATGCCATGTATTTTTGCGACCATTCTACCAAATTCCTGTTGTCTTGTATTGCACGTCTCGCAGTCACTATCTCCAACAGTAGCACACCATAGCTGTACACATCACTTTTCTCCGTCAGCTCTTGGGTAACCACATACTCAGGATCCATATAACCTGAAGTCATCCGTTCAATATTCTTAAGTTCTTTAGCAAGAAAAAATATATCTTTTTTATGTCAGGCTATTAAACAAGCTTGACTCTAACCTGGAGTGCCCCGGATATCCGTGTTTACCACTTCAAAGCAAATAGAACCATCTTTCGAAGCATGTGCAAGGCCAAAATCTGCAACCTGGAACAAAAAGGAGAGAGATCTATTTCAAAGAATTTAAAAGGGGAGCATCTCCACAAGCCCAGTTTGGATGGGAAAATAAAGAAGCTACCTGATCCACTCCAATTCCCACCAAACCTCGTCAAGCTAACTCTGTGGTCTTCCTATCTCGAGGAAGATTCAATAGTTAGGCTTGGGAGGTTGCCAAACCTAAAGATGCTTCTCTTGGGATCCGATTCATACACGTGGACAAAACTGGTTTGCTCCTCCTCGGAAGGGTTTCCCCAGTTGCACATTCTACATTTACAATCTTTATTGTCTTTGGAGGAATTGATAGTGGAAGAAGGGGCAACGCAATGATGAAGCTCAAGAATCTAAAGATAGACCACTGTCCAAGATTGCAAAAGATTCCAGAACGATTTAAGTTATTGACTACATACTCTTGAAGGAAGGGGATATATGTTGGTTGAATTTTGGGGATATATATTGCTGGCCTAGATGTTTATTTGCTTGCATTGGAGTGAAGAGTTTGGGCAGTGAGCTTGTTCGTTGGTCTGTCTAATTTCCTCCAGTTCTAGCTATTAATTTGGGTTCTGCTTTTTGTTTTGCATGTTGTTTGTTTGGCTTTTCCTTATAAAAGTTGTTCGGTTTTAATTTCTGAAAATCGAATGACTATATTGTTTTCAGCCATTTTGGGACACCAATGACCAAGATTGTTTTTTTTATTATCTGTTTTGGCCATCACAAGTAACTCGAATGCATGTGGAATTATATATCCAAAAGACATTTCTTCTTTTAGTCCCCTGTGGTAGGCTTGTGTGCCTCCTCTTTTAGTCCCCTGGGGTGTTTAAGTTGTTATCCTGGGTTTTAGCTTTGCCTGGTGCGTTTTTTGGTTGTATTGGCCAGTGGCCCTCTTTTTCCCTTTCGTAATTGAAAGTGTGTTTCGACCAGAAAAAGACATTTCTTCTAGGTATGACACTAATTTATACTAAATGTTGGTTATAAAATTGTTAAACTTCATACCAATGCTATTTTCCTATTTGGTTGTAAAAGCGTTTTGTTTTTTTAATTATTTTCCTATTTATTTATTTTGGTTGGTTAGAAGGAAGATGATGAACACTGATCCATCCTAATATAATCCGAGTCCAATATCATAAATAAAAAAATTTAATTTGAGAGAGAGAGAGAGAGAGAGAGAAATCAACATTGTTTGACTATTTGAACTAAAATAAAACATTAAGTTTATAGAATTATCAGTTAATGTGGTCATGGCGGAACTAAGAATTTTTCTGGAGATGTGCTAAATTTTTTAATTTTATTAATATGGGAGATCTATATAAACAATGAGAACTTTTTTTTTCTTTTTTTTTTTTCTCTTTTTTGTATGGGAGAACCCAAATACACTCAAGTCATTCACGCACCGATACCAAAAGAGAAAGAGAGACTACAAAGGAAGAACACTCATACAAAAAGTACGGCAGCAAAGACACCATGGTGCATACGGCTTGCACCATGACGAGCACTCTCTCACATTTTGTGCTCACAAAAACTGCCCACACTATCTCTTTGCCAAGCCATACCTTATTAAATAGCCAAAGCAAAGACAAATGACGCAACCAAGTAATATTTACAGGCGTGCGCTAATTTTATTTTTTTGTTGGGATCAATTATAAGCCATATTTTTTTTGTTCAGATTAATGAAAGTGGTATATTTTTTGATTAATTCAGTATATTTCCTTCAAATTAAAAACTATTTTCAGAATTCATTTTTTTTTAAAATACTATTTTCGGAGAGATATGTGAACAAAGAAATCTACAACAAACCAAGAAAACCTAGAAAAACCAAAAATCAGAGGCTTGGACGAAGAACAATTTGAAGCTCAAGGACATTGGCTCAGCGGAGTGGTTTAGTTAGCGAGGGTCCATATTTCAAAATTTCCAAAAGGGGCAACTTCAATAAATTTGAAAAAACAAAATCAAAGAGACATATAAACATTATTTGAGCCAAATCAAAAGCTGAATAAACCAAAGGAGAGAGAGAGAGAAAAAGAAACTTTAGTAATTAAAGTATTAAAGTATTTGGCTGTTGAGTTTACACAATTAAGTATAATTTGTCTCTCTTCAAAGTTAACCCTATGCTAGAGCCACTCTAACCCAAGCCGAAAGCACTATCATTGCCTCAAGCCAGCCGAAAGCACCAGACAACAAATATTCCTTTCACATTCCAATTCCACCCTAATGCATTAAATAATGTCAATAAAAGCCATAACAATTTCTACACTTGTTTCACAGCACTTTCCTTTGTCAGATTGCCCATTTGATTTGCTGCATGTTTCCATTTACTTTGTCCAATTGTTAATAAAAAACTATATTAACATTTTTGGTTCTTATCAGAGGCTCCATCCTGTCCTTGTGTAAAAGATGTTTAAACATTATTGGTGCTGAAAAGTATAAAAAGTTTTAGGTGGGCATCCACCAAGCAATAACGCTTTGCAAGTTCCTTGAATATGAGGAACGTGGGTGCATCGAAGGACCCATAACAAAAAAACTGTACAATTCTGCAGGAGGGACTCACCAATCACTTTACAGTTATTTTTTCCAAGTGTCTTCAAATTCAATTGTTCCCACTCAAATGAGGAACTTTATCATTATTGGTGCAATAACGCTTTGCAAGTTCCTTGAAATTCAATTCTTCTCTTCTCACAAAGATGAGGAACTTTATCTTTATCCGAAAGCAAATTTCACGTTGTGTTAAGGGAATCCAAGGAACTCAGATACCTAGGTGAAGAACAGCAACCAATCATTCATATCAACAAAAGCCAGAAAAAAGTAATCTCCATCCATTAATTATTAAGAGCCAGCCATTTTTATTGTTGGAAAAAGAAACAGGGAAAGAATCGGACCAGAGAGAGAAGATGGCTGAGTTTGCAGTTTCGACTGTCGTCGAAAAGCTCACGAACTGGATCACCGAAGAAGCACTTCTCTTGGAAGGCGTGGGTGACAAAGTTGAGCAACTACGAGACGGACTGCGGTGGATGCAAAGTTTCCTCAAGGATGCAGATGCAGAGCAAGAGAAAAATGAAAGACTTCGCAATTGGGTGTCTCAAATAAGAGAAGTGGCTTTGGATGCCGAATATGTTATAGAAACTTACATTGCAGAAGCAGCATCTCACAGTTCATGGAACATAACTGCAAAGTTAATCAATCGTTACTGGGCTGGAAAGAAGATTGGAAAAATCCAATCTAGGGTCCAAAACATTTCAAGCCAAAAAGAACATTTTGGGATCACCAGCACTAGTCGAGAGGGACGTGAAGGGACGATTGCTTCTGCAAATGAAAGGCTACGATGGTGGAGACAGACATCGCCCAATATCGAGGAAGATGATTTGGTTGGTCTTGTAGAAGATACCAAAGCATTGCTAAGACAACTATCTAGCATGGACCTGCATCGCCGTGTGGTTTCTATTGTGGGCATGGGGGGTCTAGGCAAAACCACTCTTGCAAAAAAATTGTACAATCATTGTGATATCGCAAAACAATTTGATTGCAAAGCATTTGTTTATGTATCTAAAGATTACCGTAGAAGAGACACTCTGCAAGGGATAATTGTAGTTGTAAGTCCTAATTGCAATATGGAGGATTTGAAGAAACTAGAAGAGGAGGCATTGATATCGAAGTTGCACGAATTGTTGAAGGAGAGAAGGTATTTAGTGGTTCTTGATGATATTTGGGAAACAGAGATCTGGGATAGCATGCAATCTGCATTTCCAAGTGGAAAGATGGGAAGTAAGGTGATGCTCACCACCCGAAAAAAGGAAGTTGCTTTATATGCAGATAGCGAACAAATTGAGCCGCGGTTTCTAACGCAAGAAGAAAGCTTTTTACTGTTCCGCAAGAAAGCATTCCCGGGAATGAATGAAATGCCTTCTGATTTGGAAAAT